TGGGTAATAAGAGAAAAGAAAGAGGGGAGAGGGAGGGAAAGTGAAAGAAGAGGAAAAGAAAAGGAAAGAAAAAGAGAAGATAAAAATAAAGACAATAATAAAAAGGAAGAAGATATCATAATGACCAGACTCACAATACCCTGCAACCCCTTCTCCACTTCAAAAACTGTCATAACTCCTTTGATCTATGCTGCCCGATGGCGTAACCACTGGGGGACAACGGGAAAATATCTATCTTTGAAAAATCTTCCCTACCCCTTTATAAATGCCCTTTTCATCCCCTGAAAGTGCCTAAAAACTTCAAATTTCGCGTGCTTCGCGCGCATTTCTTGTGAACATGGGCCAATTTCCTCTAAAAAATTGCATATTTTAGGGAGTTTTGATCAATTCCAACGAAATTAGAATTAAAAATACCGGGGCACAAGGGGAAAATATCCACCTTTGGAAAATCTTTCCTCACCCATTGACAATGCATCCTCTGAAAGTGCTTAAAATTCTCAAATTCTTTGCGCGCATTTCTTGTTATGGTAGGCCAATTTCCTCTATAAATTGCACATTTTAGGGAGTTTTCATCAATTCCGACGAAATTAGAATTAAAAACACAAAAATATTTTGCCCGTTTCGCGCGCATTTTTTAGGGCTTTTTTAGGTTTATCCTTTTAAGTTATTTAAACACATAATCGTCCCAAACTCAAGAAAGACAAATTTAAGATAGATCGTTTTAACCTGAAAGAAGGACCTCAATGTGTATTGATGGTGAAAGAATGTTTGTAATAAATAAAACCACGATGAAAATGCATATACTGTATTTAGTTTCAAACACACGTGTGTGGCCTATATTACAAATAAGATAAGCCCTACGTCGTATTGTTTTCTATATGGGGAGTGGAGTGGGTATGGTAAATTACTAACCGGGAAAATAAATACCCACTCTGACCCAAGACCCCTGTTACGCGCCTGGTGTTAGCGCCAATGTGTGCCCTTGTGCGGACAGGGGATGTGCCCCCCTCTGAAGCTGGAAACCTTGTTTTTGCAAAATAAATTGATGCAATTTTCTATCATAGGCCTAATCAATAAATTCCTCATCAACCGATATAACCTTAAACATTCTTGGAATTGACATAAGATTACTGTCGTAGTACACACCCTTCAGTGTGAAACGTGGCTCTCTTTGCAAGCACGTCTAACATCTAAGGAAAGAAGAGTTTAGATTGGTACCAGATAAAATAATTTTGGGATCAACATTAATACATTATGCTAATTTTCATCTTTGTAAGCGCATAAGGCAGTGCTAATTATTTCTGTGACAGTCTTTTGAAGTGTGTAAAGCTACATTTTACCCCATACATAGTCAAAATATTTGGGGGGGATGATACAATGGACCATCACCCCTTGTCAAATATTGGGGGGAGGGATATATCCCCCATCCCCCCCGGATCTACGCCTATGCTTTTGGTGGTGATTGGGCAGTACACGGGAGACGATACCCTGCATTTGTCCAAAGAGTCTACTGCGTTCTTTAACGTGCATATGGCCATAAATGCACACGGGACCAACGGCTTAAACGTCTCATCCGAAAGACGGTGCGCTATTGTAACTAACTTGTATTTCAGCCCTCTTCTCCAGCTTAAACACAAGAAGAGGCAGCGATGGGATTGAACCGGGGACCTAGAGATCTCCACGGTTCAGCGCACACACAGCGGCTACCACCAGAT